GGCTGGTTCTGAGTTCTGGTGAGACAGAGACCTTGGTGGCAGTGGAAAAATCAGAAGCACAAAGGAAAACTCTTGGCCTCTGCTTTCTCCTGTAGCATACAGAAGAGGGAGCTGGCTGGATCTTTTGGTGGGATCAGGAAACATGGGCTGAGCTTTCTAGCCTGGGTGTGGAGAAGGGTAGCCTCAGCTGCAAAACTTGTCAGGCACTGAGTGACAAGCATCCTCAGCCGAGTGCACTCCTGGAAATGCTGGTTTTCCTTGCCCACTGGCCCTGGGGCCATGGGCACAAGGACTCCTAAAGCTGCTCTAGGGTCCCTGGAAACCACCTGGGTTCAGCCTCTCCCACAGTAAGAGTTCTTGCCCTTCATACCCTCTACCTGGATGGATGGTGCTTGATTGGGCAGGGAATCAAACACATAATGAGCAGTCCCCAACAGTATTGGGCAGTTGGGACCTTAGGCAGCTTCTCTCTAACTGCTCCTGGGACCACACCCCAAACTCTGCACCCTCTGCCCCCAAACAATTCTGCAGAGTGGTGAAGTTCACTTCCCCAACTCTTCTCCAAGTCTAGCTTTTCTTTCCCTTCTGGCTCCAAGGTGCTCTGTGTCCATCTCTCTGTGTGTGTGTGTGTGTGTGTGTGTGTGTGTGTCTGCGTGTCTCTGTGTGTACTGGGGAAAAGGGCAATCAGTAATCAACTGAGGTTTCTTAATTGTGATCATATTGCTAAGAAATGAGTAGGAAAGGAATAAGGATGTTATGATCGCCTGTGGATTTTGTCCATTCATTTCATGCTCTTTGGATAGAAAGTACACCTGGGAAAATAGCAGCTTTTTCTCTCAGGGTTCTGAGTGAGAGGACACCATCCAAGAAAGGTGTTATCTTTCAGTTCCCACTCTCCATTGCCTGAAGAAATTGGTATGTTGCACATATGGTTGAAACTGAACATATTCTAGTGAATGTGCCTTAAAAATCACGACACTAGTTCAGAGGAAGCACATAAGGTCCAGACCTGTGGTGAAGACAGGTGTTGGAAGCCAGGACTGTGATAATCAGAAGCTGTAAGAGAACTTTTGGAGCCTGCCTCCTTCAGTGACAAGTAGGGCACAAAATTATAGAAGACCTTGTTTTCTTTTTTTCCTCATTCTGAAAATAGCAGGACATTTACCTCTTAAATAAACTTAGCATTTAGAGGTAGTTCTAAATTTAACAAGTAGCAGGGTTGATTTCAAAGAAAAAGGTCCATGCTTTGCTTACAATGGAGTCTGCAGTGAGGGGAGGTGCTGGGATAGCCATTTCCATGGCTCTGTTATGCAAGCACAAATTCCATCTCCTAGATGGACTTCCTGGTTTTCTCCTACTGCAGTAACACTGGCCTTCCCTCTTCTAATTCCTTATGCCAGCTGTGGCATCCCTGTGTCAACTCAGGTTGCCATGTGGTCCGGAATACACTTCTCCACATAGCTGAATGAGTCTGCTTTCACTGAGACTGGGACCTGAATAACGTGTAGTTAGGGCCCAGAGTTGGGACACTATACTACCTGGAGCTCTGGTCTGTAGGCTTGTAGTAGCCACCAGTAATAGGCCAAGAGCTGGGCTCTTGTTTGCGTTTATGGCCACCTGGAATTTTCTGTCATCTCAGGACACAGGGGGGAGGGACAGAACAGACATATTACGACAGGTTTGGTTTTAAAATTTTCCAACCAAGTGAAGAGGCAAGTTGGTCTTACAGAAAGCACTACTGCACTTAGTAGCTATATGATTTTGAGCAAACCACATAATCCTTCTAGGTCCATTTTCTTAACCGCAAGATGAAGATGTTACATTGTCAAAGCTTGCTGTAGGATTTGGGGTGAATGAAAGTTACTCTTTGCTTTCATCACTACCTTTATAGCTCATCACTGTGCCTTTTTTCTTTCCTGAGAAAGACATCACATCCCTTCCTTCTCTGTGCTCCTGTCCCTCCCTCCCCCTAGCAAGGTCCAGGCAAAGCTGGAGAAGAGGCTGAGAATCCAGAGTTTCCTAGAAGGCAACTTAGAATAACTAGGAGAGGGAAGCCTGACTGCTGGTCAGGAGGGGTGAAGTTTCTTGCTGGGAACACACAGCCAGTTTTCACAATGCCTAGAATGTGTATGTCTGTTTGCACAAGATTGTCTTTTCCTATTTTGGAGTGGTCAGACATTTTATTTTTGTTCAAGATTATCTGGAGTTTTAGACAAATTTGCAAAACTGTGCTTTTATTAAGTGAATTTTTGAATAAACTTCTTTGGTATTCTGGAACAAATGTATTTATTTATTGGTATGTGCAATGACAAACTTGGTATTTTCCCATGTTGACATTATGTGTGTTGTAGAATTTAGTGTTTGTCTAAGTACAGACATACATCAACATATTAAACTTGAACTGTTTCAACACTTCTGTTCCTAGTTTTTTTCTCTATCCTTCATTCACTGTTTCCTAGGAGCCTCAGGCAGGTAGGTGGGTGGTAATAGCAGAGGTCATACCTCACCAATGACATGTGGGTCAACACTGACCTCCCTCTGGCTGTGCCTTTCAAGTTTAAGGTTCATCAGAACTGCACCCAGAGGGTAGAAAAATGAAGGCACGAAGTACTTAAGTTAGAGCAGGCCTGACCTTAGGAACAGAACAGGGCTGTCTGCAGAGATAAAAAATGTATAAAAGATCCAACCAGGCCCACTCCTTCAGGTGGCACAGAAGACCCTGAAGAGAACTGCTCTAACTTAAGTACTCTGTGGGCCTGCTTGGAGCCTGACCCATTTAAACAGGACTTAGACGTGCTCAGGAATCTTTTTGTTGCAGGGCAGCTGTGGCAGATTTGAAGCCAAAAGGAAGGGAGGCTACAGTGGTGGGTAGAAGCAGACATGAAAGCTAATGGTCTGACCCAGAGAGGAAGTTACCACTAAACGCACCCAGAGACTACAGAATGGCCCTGGGCCATTCCTGACAGTCCGGGTAGCCTTAGAGCGTGTCAAGTGTAACATCTCAGCAACACAGGACTTGCTGTCACCAAGCACCTACCATATGCTTCACCCTGGCACACACAGACACTTTATAAAAACCATCTTATTCAATCCATACAGCCCTGGAAAGAGCATCATTCCCAATTCATGGAGAAACTAGTTCTCTGAGAAATTAAGGAATGACCTAAGAGGAGAAATTTGACTTGTTTTCTTTGTGTAAAAAAAAGGGAAAGAAAAGGAAGCACATTTTAGAAAATTCAGTGGTCAAGGCAAAGTTATAGATGTGTTCATGTTTTTTCTCAGTAGTGCTGAATAGCTGAAGTACTGAATTTTTCTTTGGAATACAAATAGTCTGGATTAAAGGGAACTTTGAGAGCGTGGTAATAAATAGAGTTTGTTTACCCCCCACAGATCTAGAGTTCTGATGTGACCAAGAGTGTTTCCTACCTGAACCATGGCCTATCTCCTGTGGCCTCTGCCTCTGGCGGGAAATAGCGTATACAGGATATGCTACAAAGGAAAGAGGGTTTTGTTCAGTCTGGTTGAAAACCTTAAATGGCCATAGACAGGGGTGACCATATGTGCAGGATAGTCTTAGTTTATGCCTGTTACCACCTTGGCTTAATTTTTATTAAAGCTCCCATTTTCCAAAGTGTTTGAATCTGGACCATAAGTTATTTCATTGCCCAAACCATATAAGGTGCAGAGTATGGTTCTCAAAAGCCATTGCTTCTACAGACCAAATAACGCCTCCACTCCTCAGCACACCTCCCTGGGCTCAGCTTCTGGAGCTAGTCATGGAGATAATGAAATGGTTTCTTTGTGCTCCTGTTGTGACGAGGAAAGGGGATCTCCTGGGTGTACCACCCACCTGATTTACCAAGAATGATCCCAGATTATGCAGTTGTTTTGTGAGCTAACTGTCGATAGAGGTATGACTTGTGTACTCTGCGATAGTGCCCAAAGGACAAGATCCCCGCCCCTTTATTGTCAGAAAAGACCATGGGAAACAGACGGCAGCCTTGGCAACAAAAACCAGTGCCATGATTTTGTCATCCTGGGTTGTATACACAGATATAACTCATCCCTAAAAGATAAAATAATTCTGGAAAATCCAAAAAGAACTGTCTAAATCCTGAATGACTGAAAAGTACACCAAAATGTCTGATATATAAATACACAAACATATTCCTTATATATAAACCAACCAAGAGCCAGGGCAGGAAGAACCATCATAAGGGCTTAGTACTTCTGGCAGGAATTTCCATAAGCCAATTTTCCCCAAAGACTAACAACACTTTACATGACAGCCTCATCAAAATACTTGAACATCCATGTATGTTCACACCCAACTGCTTTTTTCAACAACTCTTTCTGCCAAGAATGTCCTCTCTTCTTTGCCCACCTGGAGAAGTTCTTAACCTGTCTGAAGGCCCACATCCCAAGAAACTGTCAAGTGTCTTGGAAATAGCAAAAACAATTTCTCTTTCCTGTAGTTTTGGGCCCATGTCTGAATTATAGCATAGCCCTTATAATAAAAACATTAACCACCACTAAATGAGTGGTTATCATGTATGAGCTAGAAACCAGTGCTGTTTGACATATACTGATGAGTTCATTTTCCTACCCCTCGCTTTACCACCCAGAAGCCAAAGCTCAGACCGGTTAAGGAGCTGACCCACGATTCCATAGCTAGAAGATACAGGGACAGATCGTGGCTCACATTTCTCTGCCTGCAGAATTCACAATCTTGAGCCCTCTTATAGGGTTATAGTTCATTTTATCTGTCAGGCTCTCTCGATATATTCAGTTTTTTGATGGTAGAAATTGAGCCTCTGTTCCCAGTACCTAGCACTAAGCAGCTGACTGCTAAATGGATGAATGAATTAGAAGAAAATACAAGTATTTATCTCTAATAAGGGAATCATATCCTAAGGCAAAAAAGAAATCTGAGCCAGGAACCCAAGGCTCTCCTCTTAACCCCTCATAGTGAATGAAGAGAAATAATACAGAAAACAATCTATCCAAACAGTAAGGAGCACCTGTTATTTTTTACCTTTAGTGTACAATACATCTAGATTGCATTCAGTACATTTTAAACTGCAGTCTTTACAATGTGAATCAAATGTTCTACAGAGATAGATGCAATGTACTTTCTATAAATTCAATCTTCAATGACTTTTCTCTGTAACTCAATTAACAATAAATGCCTAGTAGTACCTGACAGGTTATCTTAATATGACTCCATACCTTCTAACAGCAGTCTGTATGCTTTTATGTGTGATTTTAAACTATTTTCCTGGCATCTTATTCATGCCAACCATAATAGAACTCTAAAAATCATATCTACCTTTACATAATTTCTAAATTTTTCAGTCTTCTACATTTCATGACTGGGAATGTCTTTGGGAATGTGCCCTCTTCAAACTCTTAGGTCTTACACATAAACTGAATTCACACATACTTCATGCTATAAATCATAAGTGATAGCTTGTCTCAAGAAGACACACATCTGATGCAATAAGGAAAAAAGGCCTTTAATTTGGTCAAAATCCTCCCAGTCCGAATCTAGTTGCTACTTTCCCTAGCTCTCTCAAAAGACCCAACCAAATATTGGAATAATGGAACATATGGTCTCTTCCCCTGGGCACTGCTATGTTGGTTCTCTGCAACAGACACACTCTAACTTCCCTGTTGAGTTGGCATTTTGTATACAAGATCAGTCCTCATTTCTGCTTCAATTTATGGGTTCTGAGAACAAATTTCTCAAAGGGTGCAACATTCAGAAACAGCTTTAGGTAAGGGCTGTCCATAAGTGCACAGATTCTCTCCCCTATTGCTGGCTTCCTGGCCTTCTGAGCTTCTCATGGCAGAACCATCCCTGGGCAGGGCTTCCTGCGGCTTCAGTGGCCTCTAATTTTGACTTTGCAAGGGCGGGGTCTAATGTCTCTAAAACTTTCTATGTCCACTGAAAACCAGGAGTGCAAAGGTATTTCTGGGATTGGCAGTTCTGTTATGCAGAACAAGGGTAAAGGAAGCTAGAGATCCAGGTAATATCAGAGTAAAACAGTCAACAAGCAAGCCTCTGGGCTCATTCTCAGATCAGTGAGAGTCTGTTCTACTCTGAAGAAAAGAGGATGTCTGAGGCAGCATCAATGCTCCTAGGAAGACCCTCACTGCAAGGAAGAGGCTTCAGCTGAGACAGCAGAGTTTTACCCTGATCTGGGCCCATCAGCCCCACAAATAAAATGTTCTCTTCTCCCCATGGGACTACTAACCTGCTCAAGGCCCAAAGATAAGGCATCCTGGAGTCTGAAATCTTCATTCTTGCAATCTTAAGTCCTCATCATCTGTATGCTGATGTTCATTCACAGGCAAGCTATCTGTTACCCCTACCAGGAAGAGTCAGACCTTTGCCCCTGAGTGGTCCCATCTGTAATTACGACAGACCAAACATAATTACTTAATGGATCAACTTCTCTGATAGGGGAAAGGCAGGAAGAGAAACAGCCAAGCTGTCCTGTGTTCACACTAATATCCATGTTTTACAAGGTGACAGGTGTGTGAGCACCAGGAAGGATACATGATATCCATGATAGTGGCCTGATAGCTATGACACTTGAACACAGTGAAGACAGTACAGGGCACAGGGCCAAGAAGGAAATCTGAGGAGAGAAACGTCACCTTGGGACTTGAGTAATGGATACTTCAAACTGGCTGTTTTTACTCTAAACCCTGGGGGTTACGCCTCCTCAGCATGCTGCCTGTATATGCTTGATCGGTGCTTATGCCCAGCCCTTCCTCTCTAAAGTCTTGGGGCCACTCTTCCTTGGTGGTTTCCTCTTGCTCAGCATAGCTATCTGCATTGAATCCAGCATTCTCTGCCAAGACCGCAGGATCCTCATCTTCATGAAAACAGCAGGAACATGTTTCTGGCTTTGGATCACACGAGGTAACAGAATTATCTTTCTGGACTCTGGGGTCAGTGGGCAGACCTTCCCAAACCAAATGGTCTGATTCTTCCTCTTCTATCGCTCCCATTCTTTCAGCTATTTCTTCAGCAGAAAGCTCTTTTGGGTCAGGGTGATCCACCAAGATTGTTTTTTGCCTACGCTTGATACAGTCTGAAAGGTCATAAATTGGGTAAGTCTCTTCAGGGTAACCTAGAGAGAAAAGTAGCACAAAGTCTTAAATAGAATGTCTCCTCAAAAAAAAAAAAAAAAAAGTGTCAGGTTCAAAGAGGATTCTCAGGCAGCAGCCATCCTATCCTAACAAATCCATTCAGGAAATCTCTAAGATGATTCCAATAGTTCTACAGTTTCACTTGAGCAAATTCTTAGCAATCTGGCTGACTATCCATCCCAATGCTCTTTGAAATACAAACCAATTCAGATGAAAATCCCTTCTTATGTGTAGGGTGCTTGGGGCACAGTTAAGTCTCATACCACGTGTTTTTGCAGTACTGATGAAGATTAAACAAACAACATGAGCCTTTAGTTTAAAAAAAAAAAAAAAGCATCAAATACCAGATGGAGAGAGCACAGCTCTAGGCTAATGTTTATAATTTCTATTTGGAACCATTTCCAGATCTTCCTTGGGGGAGGGGGGAGAGGAAAGGAATGCTAAGCTCTTAAAAAAATACACCATGAAGCTTTCTATTTATCAAAACAATTGAAATGGCTTGCAAGTGTCAGAAATAGAGAGCACTTTAGCAAGACATGCCCAAGATCCCAAAGGACGAGCACTGCATTTTCAGAAGACAGAATTCCTGTTGTTGGCTTCCTGTCTTCACAAAACGGAACAAAAGAAAACAACAAACTGGTAAACAAAAACGAGTAACACTGGTACTGAATCCCAGCTAGGATAATGAGAAAAGAGAAAATGTTGCCAAATTAAGGAACGAAATGAAATAAATCTGTGTCAGCCAAGCAAGCCTGAGCAGATGGGCCATGCTGGAGCTCACACACCAGTCAGTACTGGCACCAGCGGCTGTGAATACGATACAATGCAGAAAGCTGGAGGATTCAGAACCCATTTGTCCATTATGATAATTGTCAAATTCAGCCCTAACATAAACCGCTTTTTGCCTACAAATTGTGACAAATAGCGGGTTTTTTTGGTGCAATGTAGGGTGCATGGAGACATTTCTATATTACTAGTTTTTCTGACTATAAAAATACAGACTCACTTGTAGAAAATTTGAAAAATGAAATTCCTTTTTTAAAAAAGAAAACACAAATCACCTAGAATACCATCACTCATAATAATATGCTTTTTCTGCCCTGTTTACCATATCTAAACATGTATTTTCTTTTCTTTTCTTTTTTTTTTTGAGATGGAGTCTTGCTCTGGTGCCCAGGCTGGAGTGCCATGGTGGAATCTCAGCTCACTGCAACCTTCACCTCCCGGGTTCAAGCAATTCTCCTGCTTCAGCCTCCCGAGCAGCTCGGATTACAGGTGCATGCCACCATGCCTGGCTAATTTTTGTATTTTTAGTAAAGAGAGGGTTTCGCCATGTTGGCCAGGCTGGTCTCAAACTCAATCTCAGGTGATCCACCACCTCAGTCTCCCAAAGTGTTGGGATTACAGGCATGAGCCACTGTGCCCGGCCAACATGTATTTTCTTATTCCCCCTTTTTTAAAAGAAGGATTATATTTGTGTATAAAAGGTTACATCCTGATGTTTTTCATTCAACTTTATATCATGAGCATCTCTTGATGTCATTAGGCATTTGAAAGTTGGCTGCAAAATATCTCATCATATAGCTAAATAACTGACATGATTTACTATTTCTCTTTTCTAAGACATTTAAATTCTTTCCAATTTTCCCCTATTATTAAGTAGTATAGAAGATCTCTGAATATAAATCTATGTCCACTTCCCTAATTGTTTAAGATAGACTTCTATAAATATGAAAACTAAACAAAGAGGAATGGACATTTTAAAAGCCTTTTTTATACTCTGCCAAATTACTTTCCAGAAAAGTAGTCTACATTTTCAATCCTACCAGTGATGTAAAGACTGTCCATCTTATCACACCCTCACCACACTCACACTAACATGTTAAGAACCTGGCCAATGCAATCTTTATTTCCAAGGCTTAACTAACTGTGGATGGAATGCTAGGTAAAGTGGAGCTTGGCTACCCAGGACCCTCAGCCTCCATGGTCAGGGACAGGGGCTGGAGAAGCTGCTTGCTGGTCAGCTCCCAGCCACTGAATGCTTAAAAGAAGTCCATTTGCTGGCATGTCCCTGACTTCCCACACTTAGAACAAAGCTTACTTTTGAATTTTCATGACTATCTGCTTTAAGAGGGAAGGCCATCCAGACTCAGGCCCTCAGCCCACCCCAACACCAGGCCTCAGGCCAGCTCTGCATCCCTAGTTATAACTCCTGCACCCACAGACCCAGGCTCCATGCTGGCCCCTGCAGATACAGACTCTGGGCCCACCCAGCATCAGGCCAGCAACTATCCAGTCCCACCCCAGGTTCCAGATAAAACCAGAGCTAGGTCTGCCCACATAGCCCCAGAGCCAAATTGGCAACCCAAATTCAAGTACCAGGCCGGCACCTGCAGACACAGGCTCCAGGCCTGCCCAGTGCCAGGCTAGTCTCTATGATGACCTGCTTAAGGCTGGCCCCTGCATTTCCACAGTCCAGCAGAACCCTCGGTCTAGGCCAACGCAGTAGACCCCAGCATTGGGCTGGCCCTCAGAACCTCAGGACTGTCTCTATGAACCTAGGTTCTGGGCTTGGGCCTGTGGCCCTAGGACCCAGGCCAGCCCTAATGGACCTAGCCTCCAGGCCCATCTCAGTGGACCCAGGCACCAGGTTAATTCTAGCACCTGGCCAATCTCTGAAGATACAGGCTCAAGGCTCAGTCCAGCCCCAGGTCAGCCCTTGTGGACCTAGACTTCAGGACGGCCTCTCTGCACAAGATATGAGCTCCAGGTATATGCCTGAGGATCCAACAGGTATACCCCAGTGGATCTGGGCTTCAACCCCAACCCACGGACTCAGCCAGGCCACCCTGCCTAAGGACTCTAGCAGCAAGGCCATCTGCAGATCACACCAAATGGCTTACCCAGAATCTCTGGACAGCCTGACTGGTGAATGGCTTTTCCAGACAAAGCCAGTATGCAAAAACCACTGACCAGCATAAGTCCTTGCTTCTTTAAATGAAGACACCAATGCATAGCCATGGAGATCAAGAACAATCAGGGAAACATGTTGCCACCAATGAACAAAATAAAGCACCAGGAACAGACCTTAAAGAAATGAAGACACAGCCAGGTAAGGTGGCTCACGCCTGTAATCCTAGCACTTTAAGAGGCTGAGGCAGCTGGATTACCTGAGGTCAGGAGTTCAAAACCAGCTTGGCCAACACAGTGAAACCCTGTCTCTACTAAAAATACAAAAAAAAAAATTAGCCAGTCATGGTGACAGGTGCCTATAATCCCAGCTACTTGGGAGGCTGAGGCAGGAGAACTGTTTGAACCCAGGAGGCGGAGGTTGCATTGAGCCAAGATTATGCCATTGCACTCCAGCCTGGGCAAAAAGAGCGAAACTCTGTCTCAAAAAAAAAAAAAAAAAAAGAAAGAAAAGAAAAATGAAGACACATGAACTGCCTGATGAAGAATTCAAGATAACTGTTTAAGGAAACACAGTAAACTTCAAGAAAATACAGAAAAACAATTAAAGGAAAACAATAAATAATTTAAAAATTTACAAGAGATTGAAATTATATTTAAAAATCAAACAGAAATTCTACAGCTGAAAAATACAAGAAATGAAATGAAAAAATGCAACAGAGAGTATCAATAGCAGAACTGATTGAGCAGAAGAATGAACCTGTGAATTTGAAGACAGATTATTTGACAATATACAGTTGGGTAAGAAAAGAGAAAAAAGAATGAAAAAAAAATACTGCTTATGGGGTTTATGGGGCAGCTTATGGAATTTATGGGAACTGAAGTTCAAGAAGGAGGAGAGAGAGACAAAAGGATAGAAAGTTTAAAGAAATAACAGCAGGAAACTATATAAATCTGGGGAAAGTTATAAATATCTGGGTACAGGAAGTTAAGTCTGCAAACAAACTGAACTCAAATAAGACTACATCAAGATGTATTATAATCAAACTATCAAAAATTAAAGACAGAGAGGATGCTGGAAACAGCAAAAGAAAATAAGCACATCACATATAAGGGAGTTTAACAGATTTATCAGCAGAAACCTTAAATTCCAGAAGAGAGTAGGATAATATATTCAAAGTGCTTATGGAAAACAAAACAAAAAAAAAGGTCAACCAAGAATATTGTAGTTGGCAAAGCTCTCCTTCAGAAATAAGGAAAAAAAACAAAGACTCTGCCAGACAAACAAAATCTAAAGGAGTTTATCCCCACAAGATCTGTCTTATAAGAAGTGCTCAAGGGTGTTCTTCAAGTAAAGAGCAAGAAACGCTATTTGGTAACACAAATATATATGAAAGTATAGGCTGGGTGCGGTGGCTCATGCTTCTAGCCCCAGCACTTTGGGAGGCCAAGGTGGGTGCATCTCCTGAGGTCAGGAATTCGAGACCAGCCTGACCAACATGGTGAAACCTTGCCTTTACTAAAAATACAAAAGTATGTGGGCGTGATGGTACATGCCTGTAATCCCAGCTACTTGGGAGGGTGCGGCAGGAGAATTGCTTGAACCCGGGAGACAGAGGTTGCAGTGAGCTGAGATGGTGCCATTGCGCTTCAGCCTGGGCAACAAGAATGAAATAATGTCTCAAAAAAAAAAAAGGAAATATGAAACTCACTGGTAAAAGTTAGTACAAGCACACAAACAAATTCAGAATACTCTAAAACTATAATGATGGCTTGTAAATCACATATCTTTAGTATGAAGATTCAAATACGAAACTCTTACAAATAATAGTTACTATAATTTTAAGGGATATACAATATTAAAGAAGTGTAAATTATGATATCAAAAAAACATAAGATGTGGGGAGGGAGGTGGAGAAAAAGCGTATTATTTTATGTGGCCAAAGTTATGTTATCAGCTTAAAATAGTCTATCATAAGATGTTTTACGTAAGCCTCATAGTAACAAAGAGCAAAAATGTATTGTAGATATACAAATGGTAAAAAGTAAGAAATCAAATTATACCACTAGA